AATTGGTTGATCTCATGGAACTTTACCCACAATTAGCAACTGGCCGTCCTGTTTTCGGATCCAATAAATTTGAAGTGGATAACAAGTGGAATAATGTCGCTGTATCATTAAATGCCATAGGTATTCTCCTTTGGGGAATATTTTGCTTTTCTTTATAATTAAAATTAATTGCAATCGTACCAAACATTTTGAATTTTCTATTTTGACACTTTTTATGTAAAAAAAAACTGTTTGTAAACAATAAACAGAGTTACCCTCATTTTGCAATAATTCTATTGGAAAATTTGCAACAATATACCAAAAGAAACACTTTGGCACTAATGGTTAAACACGAATGAAAAAGCTCAATCGTTTCTAGACGAAAGCTTTTACAATTATTACAAAAACCAAATTTTCGACGTATACGTTTTAATACGAACGATACGTGTGACTGCCGGAACAAATTACAAAAACAGGCTGTAACACACAAAATGCAAAAACTCGCATGTATTTTTGGCGGGAATTTCGTGAGCTTTCGATGCGTTTGAGGAATATTAAATCTACGTGTGTATGTGTGTGTAACTATGTTGTTTGTGAAGTTTGCACGTTGATGTGTGCTGTTGAGCACTGTATGCCACACTGTATGCCACTATGTAAGCACTGTATGCCACAGAAAAACAGCCATTGCAAAAATCGAGTTGTTCGGAAATGCAAGGAATATTGTTGTTGTTGTTTTCAAAAAGGGAAACTACAAGTGTGTTTGTGTGTATTGTACACGTATAACTCAAACAATTTGTAAAGCTGTGTTCGTCGATGGATTAAATAAAGAAGCTGTGGCGTGAAAATGTAAGTGATTGAATATGTTTTTGTTGTTTTTTTTTCTGAATATAATATGTGAAGGAATATTTTTAAAATAATTTTATAAGACTTAACATGTGTATTAATGCGATATGGGGTAGTGCATATTGACATCTCCAAAGTTATAAAAATGTGGTGATTTTAGATTTAAGTTTCAATCTTAAAGCATGGCTATAAGTAGGGATTACAGAGAAAAAATTATCACTAAAAAACAGAAAAATGAATAGCCCAATAGCTTGTAGCTAAATTTTCAACTAAAGTTGCTGTAATTTGGCAATCGTGGAGCTATGAGCAACATATTCCATTTTCCCCATAATTAGAACAGTGGATCTATGAAATAATTATCACATGTATGGTTTTCGATGAGGCTTATTACGATTTTTTTTAAATGAATTAAAAATCAAAACAATTTTTTTTTTTAAATTTTTATAATTGAATCGTTTAAACGACATGTACATTAGAACTTATTTCAGGGTTAATCTACTTTAAGAGGATCTATTTGACAAATATGTAATGGAATTGACAATAAAAACCCACTCGGTTAACTTAATCCGGTACAATGTAAACGTACTATTACATTCCGTTAAATATTTGCTATTTTTTTACGTTCACCTTCCTTATTCATAAAAAACACGGTAATAAAGAAAATTCCTGGAAAAAATATTATTTAAAAAAAGTACCCTTAAACTTTGGACTACATATTTATATAGGGGTGAGAGGGGCACATATGAACAGCGCTCATAAAATCTCGGTTTAAAATTTTTCCGATCCCCAACCATTTTTTTTTTGTATGCCAATTATGTTCTTTATCTGTGTAAACCATTTTGGGGTCAGTTTTGAACACTTTGACTTCGTCCATTAAAACAGTAATATGTATATTCATTGTAAAGGTTACAAATGTACCTATTAGTTAAAATTTATAAGAAACCAAAAATTATAAAATAAAAAATTTTATGAGGCTTGAAAGAAAAAAGTGTTCAAAGGTGCCCTCCTCTCCACTATTATTTTTAAGTAGGGATAGAAAAATATTTTTTTAAAAAAAAATCCATGACATATTGAAAAATATTTTTGTTTTTCCACGCTTAGGACTCTGAAGGTGGCTCAAAAATAGTTTACAGTGGTTAATCTATCCCTATGGACCTGCTTTAAAAATCCAGGTGACATAGATACTACAAAAATCGACATAGAATTATATTTTGATTTTTGTAAATCAGTCTTTTTCATCAAAAACTTTCTCGTTCTCTTTCTTAAGGGGACCCCCCCCCCCCTCCCATTCTCGGGGTCAAAATTTTTTTTATTTAATTCGAATCTACACTAATAGTACGTTTACACTTAACCGGATTTCGTTAACCCAGTGGGTTTCAATTGTCAATTCTTTTGCATATATGTCAAATAAATCCTCATAAAGTAGGTTAACCCGGTAAAAAGTTCTAATGTATATGCCGTTTAATTCAAGAATGTCCCTACAAAATTTCAATTGAAAATCTCAAGAACCCTTGAAGATATAGACGATTTATTGTGTCAGCATCAAGTGACGGCTAAAGGGCTTCTCAAACGTTAAACGCGTTTTTCACAAAACTAATAACCTAATCGATTCCAAATTTTTACACGTTTCTCTGTGAGTGTATAGCTATCGTATGAACTAGGATAAAGCCAATCGGTGAAGATCTTCCTTATTTTTTAACTCAGCTTTTGGTCAAAAATCGGCAATTTTCCAAAAATATTTTTTCAAAGGTCCACCATTTTGTAAATTTTAGAGCGAAGTCAATAATCTTAGTTCATACGAGAGCCAGACATGTACTCTTTGTAACACCGTTGGAATTTTCGGATTCCGATGTTCCAGTTAGGAGTTATCATGCCCGCCATCAAAAATAAGGACTTTTCTTTAATTACAAAAAACAACAACAAAACAATAACAAAAATGTTTTGTAAATTATTTTTCTTCTCTTTTAAATCTTCAAATATATATGTGCAAAGTAACAAACCTTAACAAGCATTGGTATTGATTTACCAGCCCATTGAAAATCTTGAAAAATTAAAATCGAGAATGGGTGGGGTTCCCTTAAACTGCCTATTTCCAAAAGCTCATCATTTTCCCATAACAACAATAGTTTGAAAATAAAAGAGAGTTGGAAACGCTCTTTTTTCCCAAACAGAATATTGCATGCTTCCTGCAATGGAATGTTCTCTCTGCAATAGAGAGTTGGCAACACTGTTGTTTGCATACTTCCTGCGTCCTATGCCGGCAAAGAGAAATTCTCATTGGAATCTCTTGATTATGGAGGACGATCTTATCTGAGAACAAAAAACTTCTTTTGTTCAGTTATCGGGTGACTTTTAAAACGGGCGGACGTGTTTTGTCGAGCGGATGAAAGCGTGAAAGATGAAAAAAGAAAAACAAAGTTAGCATTGAAGATATTAGTGAGTTTTTAGCTGTCGCATACAAGTAAATGAAAAAAAATTATTGTGTTTTTAAGTTATTCATTCTATATTATCAAAGGTATTTGAAGTGAATATTATAAAATCATGAAAATAAGTCATGAAAAAAAATATGAAAAACATTATGAAATTTTGGGCAAAATAAAATTAAATGTTTGATGTGTGTGTGTATGTTTGGTTCATTGTTAAAGATCTATCATTGCCCTAACACACAAAATGCAATCACTCCAATGTACTTTTGGCGGGAATTTCGTGAGCTTTCGACGCGTTTGATGACTGTTAAATGTATGTGTGTGTGTAACTATGTTGTGTGTGAAGTTTGTCTATTGATGTGTGCTGCTGAAACCAATACGGCTATGAGCACTACATGCAACAGAAAAATAGCCATTGCAAAAATCGAATTGTTCGGAAATGCAAGAAATATTGTTGTTGTTTTCAAAACGGGAAGAAACAAGTGTGTTTGTGTGTATTGTACACGCATAACCCAAACAATTTTCAAAGCTGTTTTCGTCGATGGATTTAATGAAGAAGCTGTGGCGTGAAAATGTAAGTGATTGAATATGTTGTTGTTTTTTTTTTCTTCTAGTTTAGTAAAAACGAATCGATTTTTTGGGCATCTTCTCCGAATTAAGTATTTTTATCCTAATTATGGGGATATATTTTTTTCTTGGGGGACCGGGTTATTTGAACCAGAAGTTCGATTACGGGTACCCGGTTATATCCGGTTCTATAAATCCGATTAATACAAAATGGGTATCATTTTAAAGTTTATGAAAATACCTTAACATTGAGTTTGGGAGATACAGTCAAAAACAGTTTTTGGACCCCGATTTTTTTGAGAACCCCCCCAAAAGTCGAACAATGGTCTATTATAGTCCATCACCAATTCAGACCCAAAAGATAGACTACACAATGCCCTTTCTAATATGGTGCGATATGGGCCTTAGAACCCTATAAAAAGGAGAAAATTCTTTCGCGTTGCCAAAAAATTCTTTCATTTATAAAAACCCGGTTGTAGGTTTTCAATATTTTTTGGAGGTCTTCACAGAAAAGGATTGTGTAAGATATTCCAACAAAAGAACTATGGAAGTTAATCTAACTAAAGAAGGCCTGAACATAGAATTCTACCTAGAGAAGACCTATAGAATGTCATCTATTCATAATCGACCTTTGAAACCTACCACCAAGAACAAATTTGGCATACCGTACTGAATTAAGTCTGGAACGATGTGTATTAAATTTCGTGAAAATATGTTAAGATTCGATGTACCTCCCGATTGAAATGAAATTTATCATAGGTTGCAGAAACACATGATAATGTTCCTTCGAGGGAACATTGGCATGCCATTGTAAGGATACATATGTAAGTGGTGTCGGTCCAGTCCGATTTAACTACTTTCCTTACTGGTTTCAAAATAATTTTTGGAGGGTTAACAAAGGCGTGGATTTCTTCAAATATTTCAAAATATAAAATATTCAAATACCTGATATTGAAGTGTATAGAAGACCCGTTCATGTGGATTGTTATATTTGACTAGCTGAACTGATCTGGATACATAGGACTGTCCAGGTCCAATATATATTTTTCTAAGGGAGTTGGATTGTTGTCCTAATTAAGTCGATTAATTTTTTTTTTTGAGTTCTGGAAATCAAGAAGCCATTCTATTTTTCAATCCTATTAAACATTTTTTTAATATTCTAAAAATTACATATCTTTCCCTATTCTACTGTGGTAATTTACAATTATAAGGTTCACGATTTTTACAACAATATTCTCGTCCTGCAGCTAAATTGGTGTTTACCCAAATATCCTGGCAATTCTTGGTAAACAAATAGGCTCGCTGTTTATGTATGTCATGGTCCAGGGCAGCACAAAGAATATTGGCCGAATTTGGTAGATGGCGGACAATCTGAAGGGGACAAATATTAGAATATATAAATAAATTTTTAAAGTAGTTTTTCTTAGTCTCTTACCTGTTCCAAACATTTCGTCTGACAATGTTTCTGTCCGATACCATTACAGGCGAAAGTACGATCCAATGAATTTGAAACCACCGCCTCACCACGTGGTGGATCTGTTGAACCCTTTGTAAATTGTGTATTAAGGAAAATACCACAGGTACAGGGTACAAGTTCGGTTGTGTTTGTCGAACGATTTGTCGTAACACGGGAGGGGTTCTTTTTCAATTTTGTTAAAATTTGTTTGGGTCCAACAGCAGCAGAAGTTGTAGATTTTAGAATTTCATCATTTTCCTCAGTTGTCAGAGATAATGTTAATGCTGTGGAGGATTCCAGATTTGATTTTAGTGTTAACTCGTTGGGACTGGTGGTAGTGTCACTACTGGTTAGTGGGATAGATGTTGTTGTTGATTTGTCATTTATTCCCAGAGGTTTCTTCAGGGTTTTATCTTCTGCCAAATTTGTCTTCTTATAGGTTATTTGACTTATGGCTGCCTCGGCGGTCAATAAATAAATACAAGAGGTACAGAAAATTAATTTCCACAATGGGATTTGATTGCAGGGTTTATGGAACGCTGTAAAGAAAATAAAAATATTTTTTATTTTTTTTAAAGAAAGCTGCTGATGACCTGCACTTACCCATTTCAGAATGATAAATACTGCTGATGCTTGAAACAACCCATGCTTTTATTCTCATTGTATTTAAATGATTGGACGCCACCACCTTCGTTAATATTCTCAATTACAAAATTTCTTCCACAAGAATTTTGCTGATGTCTGAAAAATTTTACTACAAAACGTCTATGCTACGCTTTTTTGCTTGGCAATCAAGAATGAGGTGTGTAATTTGACTTTTTAATCTTGAGCTGCGAGTTCAAGTTTAAATGCAAGAAAATACACTTAAGAGGTCTAAAGGTAATCCAATATTTCGCTTGATTATTTTTTTTTTTTTCAAAAATCCACGCATATGGTTCAACCTTAAAAATATTCACAATCTAAAGCCTTTAGAAATATATATTGGACCTGGAAAGACGCATATATCTAAATCGATTCAGCCTAATATAAGGCGTGGATTTTTAAACATGATTTTTTCCTCTTTCATCTCAATTGTGGACACTGACCTCCCCGTGTTGCCACATGGGGTACCTGTTTTCATCACTCGAGAAAATAGTGAGCTAATATGTGCTGCGAGTTCACCCATAAGAACTATAACAAAATGGGTTGAGGCGTCGGGTTAGTTGCCCACACTCGGAAAACCGAATCTACTATGAAAAAGAAAATCAAACCCACCTAATGTTGACTACCCCCGGAAACGTATAAGGACCACGATCTGCGAATCTGCACTTGGAATGTGCGCACGTTGTACAGTACAGGCGAAGTGTTCGCTATGCGGATGTACTCAGGAAGTGCAAAGCCGATATTATTTCCTTACAGGTAATACGATGGAAAGGGACTGGCGTAAGTAAATCAGAAGATTACGTCCTGTATTATAGATGCCATGAAACGAGACGTGAATTTGGCTGCGGATTTATGGTTAAAATGAGAATAAAAGACCTCGTCTCCAGATTCACTCCACTAGATGAGCGAACTGCTATAATTCCCATAAAAGCGAAGTTCTTCTACATCAGTCTCATTTGCGCCCATACTCCGACCGAAGATAAAGATGAACAGACCAAAGACATATTTTATGAGCGCCTAGAAACAGCATATGACCGCTGCCCTGGCCATGACATTAAAATATTGCTAGGAGATTTTAATGCAAAAATCGGAAGGGAAAATATCTTTGGCCCCGTCGTCGGAAAATTCAGCCTTCATGAAGAAATATCCGACAACGGCATAAGGTTGAATGACTTCGCGGCAGCAAAAAACATGCTAGTTAGCAGCCACCAGGATTTCTCCTGATCAAGCAACGAGAAATCTAATTGACCATGTTGTGATAGACGGAAGGCATTCGTCCAGTGTTTTAGACGTTCGATCGATACGAGAAGCGAATATCGATTCAGACCATTACTTTGTGGTAGCCAAGGTTCGCACCCGTCTTAATGTAGCAGCAAAGGTGCGATCTAATGTAACACGGAAACTCGTCGTCGAAAAGCTACAAATACAACAGGTAGCCAAGGCCTACTCCGCTCAACTTACCCACCTGCTTGTCGAAAGCACCACTTGTCCCGATAATAGTATAGAAGCAGAGTGGCACATGGTACGATCAGGAGTGTCGTAGTGCTACTGATGTGAAAAACGCAGCCTATAGGTCAACCCTGCAGACAGTAGCAACACGTAATGTGATGGAGAATTATCGGAAGAAACGATGAGAGGAGAAACTGTTCTCAGAAAAAAGAACAAGAAAAACGTGAGCGCGAGCAAATCGAGATGTACAGGAGTCAGAATGAAGTCCGGAAATTTTACTAAAGAGTAAAACACAAAAGCGAAGGTTTTGGTGCAGGCCAAGATGAGGTCATAAACGCAATTAATCGGCTCAAGAACAATAAAGCAGCAGAAGCCGACGGGTTACCAGCCGAACTATTCAAGACTGGTGGTCAGATGCTGGTAAGGAGCATGCACCAGCTGATTAGTACATTTTGGCTAGAAGAATGCATGCCCAATGATTGGAACTTCTTTGTCCTGTGTCCCGTGCACAAAAAAAGTAGACAAGACGATATGTGCCAACTATAGAGGAATAAGTATCCTTCCCATCGCATATAAAGAGCTATCCCGCGTGCTGTGTGAACGATTGAAGCCAATGGTCAATGACATTATTAAACCATAAAAATGTGGCTTCAGACCTGGCAAGTCCACCATTGACCAGATTTTCGCTCTGCGCCAAATCCTGGAAAAAACCCACGAAAAACACATCGACACATTCCACCTATTCGTCGACTATAAAGCCGCATTCCTTCAGAGGTGTTTGGCCATGTCTGCGTTTGGCATTCCTCTAAAATTAATTCGGCTATGCAGGATAACTTTAACTGTTACAAGATCAGCAGTTAATGTCGGAAAGGACCTCTCGGATCCCTTTAATACCGAACGAGGATTCAGACAATGTGACAGTTTGTCGTGTGACGTTTTTAACATCCTGCTGGAAAAGGTCATACGACAGGTAAAGGTGAACAGAAACAAGGCCACCTCACGCCAGACCAAACTCACACTCTACCAGACGCTGATACTACCCGTGCTGTTATATGGATCTGAAGCATGGGTACTTGCGCAAGCAGATGCTCTTGAAGTGTTTGAGAGAAAAATTTTCCGAAATATCTATGGACCGATCTGCGTTGATGGTGAATATCGCCGTCGAATGAACCATGAGTTGTACCAGCTTTGTTGTTTGACGTATTGAGCTGCAGCGACTACATTGGCTAGGTCACGTTGTGAGAATTGATGAAGATACCCCAACCCAAAAGGCATATAAAAGCGAATAAGATGGAAATATCAAGTGGAAGACAACATTGCCGAATATGATCTTTCAAACTGGAAAAACTGCGAAAAAGACCGACGCGCCTGGAAATTTGTTTTAAGCTTGATTTATGGAACGAAAGTTCTGTCACGAGCCAGCTAATTAAAGTAAGTAAAATCTACGCATATTATGGTCCTTGAAAAAAAAAATATTCTTTACAAAGTCTACGCCTATTCCTGGACCTTGAAAAATACTCTTAAAAAATCCACGCCTCACGTGGCCCTTGAAAACATTTTTTCAAAAATCCAGTCTTTAAAAAAATCCTAAATTTGCGATCTCTAACATGATATCAGCATACAGACGGGCATTTCGAAATCGATATAGAATTTTATTCTGATTATTAAGATTCACATACGCCGATGTATACCTCGACACTTTTGACGGGATGACAAGTTTAATTTAACGTCTGCATATAGAAACCTCGGGTAGATTTCTGTCTTTAGAATACCTTTTGAAGGTCTCTGTCTATAGAAAACCTACTCAAGTTCTCCTATCAGTTGAAGGCCTGTTAAATGAATTGAATTGAACTACAATAAAGTACAAAAATCGATCTTATTTTTTTCCTTATCACTTAATCTTGTTAGCTTTGCATTAAAAGTTTTTTGTTGTTTTATTTTTTATTATTTTGTTGAATAAAAACTCATTCATTTATTTATTAATTATTTTTTTAATTTGAAGTCACACATCGATTGTATAATAAATTGGAAATCATAATAGTAATAATATTTTTAATTCTTCTTCTTCATATAACGTATAAATTTTCAAACAGAAAAAATGCACTTCTCCATCGATCAAATACACAATACATACAGATCTATATTCTACGATCCGACTTCCTTACTCAGTCCGTCAGCAGCAGTATTCTACATTTGTTTCTTCTTCTAGTTGTTGTTGTTGTTACAAAGGAATTCTATAGAAAATTAAAATTAAATACAAAAAATCGAATCGAATCGGCTCATTTATTTTTGACTTCTTTTGCCTTTGACTACAACGGGTCTGCTCTTAATATAACCACGCTTGCGTTTCGAGTTTTTACGTGATACAAAGTTGGTGGGCGATACAAGACGTTCGTCAGCCTTAAGGGCGGGTCGATTGAATTCGTGCAGTTTTTTCACGCGATATATGCGTACCAACCAATGTTCGCTGGTATAGGCCTCTTCCAGATAGGTTAAATCAAAATCTTTATTACCAATTACAGCATTACGTGTTCTATCATATCCAGCGGGTCCTCTATAGTCCAACTTCAACTCACCAAAACGATAGTAACTTAACTTGTACATCAGACAATTGAGTAGGGCTGGGGCACCTTCACTGTCGACACGGAATTCACCACGATCGGTAAAGTAATCACTTTCCTTGATATCCTTGGGATGTTCACCCTCGGCAATACGTACCATCCACAGGAATTTGTTGATATCATCGCCCGAATAGCCAATAACACCACCAAAGATTACTAAAACGTAATCCACATCCAAGGAGGTCATAATTTCGTAAGCATTCTCTTCGGTGGAGGACATGGCCTTACCCACCAAGGCTATGTGACTGTTGTTCCAAGTATTGTTATCCACCAGGGTAGTTCGATTTGCCATACCGGCTATTTGATAACCATAATCCCACCAGGACATAATGCGGGCATCATCGGCGGTGTTTTGCGACAACCAATAGTAGGCCTCACGGAAATCATCCAAAATATTACGAGAGCCATCCTGGCTGTTGTGGAAGGCCAAAACAATGGAGGGACTAGAATAGGCATTGCTGGTTACCCAGGTACAATGAACGGCAAACATCATGAGGATCATTAATATGGCCAAGATGACAATGCTACGGAGATTCGAACCCACGCCATTGGTACCCTCTTGCTGTTGGGGATCGTGCTTCACACGATGCTTCAATTTGCCAGCCTTGTCATACAACAACTTCTTTTCCGTGGGACTTTCATCATTTTCCTCACTGTTGGCGGCAGCATTTACTGCAGCAGGACAGGTGTTGTCCTCTCTCAAATACACATCCAACAGTCCAGAGAATGCCACACCGGCCAACATACATACCACAGGTGTCAGAGTCAGCATTAGACGCACCATAACACCGGCAAAGTATACCGCACTGATGGCATATAGCACCACAAAGACACGCTCATCGTTGATCTTCTTCACACAATACCACACACCCACTGGGAAGGCACACACCAAAAT